ACCCAAGTAAATATGTAAACTTAAAGTGGCACAGCTAGAACACTAGGGGGTGAATATAAATGGCTAAAAGAAAATATATATAATATCTACGCTAAAATTAAAGACTATTAAAAACTTTCAATATATATTCATTGAAATAAATGCTGATCAAATATCACTTCATTTTTAATTTTATATTGATTTGTCTCAATTTCCTTTCCCTTCTCTTATTTTCTCATAAATGAAGTAATACAAGCTCAAAATCAACTATAAATTGACACAAAGCTCATAAAAAACAAAAAACAAAAAAAAAAAAAAATTCTAAGAAGAAAAATGATTAAGACTTTAACAAACAATTATTATTTATATTTTTGAAGCTCTTGATGCATTTTGAAGGTTGGTGCCATTGTTTCTTGTTACGAGATTCCTTTGAAGCAAGTACTAGTAGTAATAGACTACCATTCCTTCCACACTTTGATGCTACTTCTTTGCATCAGCTCCAAACTGCTAATTTCTTCTACAGATTTTTTATGACCTAGCTAGATTTGCCTTTCGCCAAATTGCGATCACTACCAAAAGGTGGACATGGTGGACATAACGGGTACATGTTTTCTTTTTGTGTTAGTTGTTTACCTGATGACCTTTCAGCAATTATTAGATTTACTTAAGTAGAATATCCAAATTCACCTCTAAAGTATAGTGGTAGGATAGATCCATTCCCGAACAAAAAACGAGGTAAATCCACTCACAAAGTTTTCGACTTAGATAAATTATCCTAAATTTAATGTGTGATGTCATCTGACATCAATGTTCCGTTACTTTGTTATGTTGTCGATAACAAATTACTGATGTTAGATGACGTTAAATTAACGGATTTCTTACATCAAATGACCTTGAAACTTCATACCTAAAAGCATTCCTCTAGATTTTCCGTGCCCTTTTTTGTCTACGTCTGTACACAATCATCTGGGGCATTTTTATTTCCTTTCTCTCCTCCACTTCTGTCCCAACTGATTTTCCAATACTTTCAGGAACAATATCTGGTTTCAACTTCAACGGCTTTCCAATTTCCATCCGCTCTCTCTCCTCTGATCTTTCCAAGTTGGTGGTGACCTCCATTTGTTTCACCTGAGCTTCAGTTAATACCTCCAGAAGTTCCAATGGCGTAGCTGCAGGATCAAGCTCCAAGCAACCCTTGGGAGCGTTAGGACCTTCTTGACCTGTGAGCAAATAAGAAGGGAACTGATGAGACAGCCGAACAACTGTTCTCTGGGAATGATCCTGTCATACTTGGCTCTGGGTGTTGCCGAAACAGTGTTTTGAATCTAGCTACTTTCACCAGTGGAACGACAACAACAGCACCACTTTCCTCATTGTAATCTTCAAGTACCTTCACCATATCATATTTGTGAATCACTTCATCAGAGGTAAGCTCGTTCCAATCAGGGGACCAGTTCCTATATAGGGCCCAAACATCTCCCTTACGAGGATATATTTGAATAGCCCCCTTTTTGCCTTTTGACCGTTTAACCTTGTGGGAGAAAGAATTAAGCAACTTGTTAATTACAAACTTGCCAACCCAAAAATCCCCACTAGTTTTGCAGAAGCCAGAGCCAATCCAGTTCAGTGGGCCCAATTCATGATTACTTTTTAAATTAAGCCAGCTTATCCGCATCTTGAATGGTTTCAATGACATGAAACCATGAATCATTGCATAATAACGTGACATGCCATCACCATTATCATAAGCAGCCCAAACCTGGTTATCGCCAAATGACTTCTCTGTGCGATCGTTGTCAAAATCATGAAGATCAGGATCTGCCACACTTATTGTAATCAGATCAGCTTCCTCCATGATAGGGTCAGCATCCTCAGTGGTACTGTCAGCATCAGATACAGAAGAGGATAACTTTTTTGGATGAACTCTAGTCCTAACATCCATAACGTCTGCTGATTTATTTGTGTCTTCATTCCCACCATTTTCTGCATCTGTTCCATTTCCTTGTTGCTTCTCACTCATCTCCTTCTCTACAATATTTAATTCATGTGAAGCATTCAGTTTTGATGCAGTGTCCCTGTCATTAAGCTTCCTAAGCATCTCTGTTCTAGCCTTCATCATCAACACATTTCGAATTTCTAGAAGCAACAGCTCCCTCGTACTACTAAATCTAAAATTTCTGGGAAAATTTGCTCTTATTGGTTCAGAACTACTATTTTGAGCTTTAGGAACACCAACCCCATTTCCCAATACAACTTGATTTTTCACAAGTCTTTCATACCACCTCCACCCATGGTCATTGATGCGTCTTCTTTTCTTAGGCCTCTGTGTTTTAATTGTAGAACTGGAGCAGCACCAGAAGAAGCAATATCTACAACAGCAGCTCTTCTTTGAGAATCATGAAACTTGATCCCAAGTTCATCGTCTCTCAGACCAGCTGTCTGTGCCTCTTCATTTCCTCTCTTTAACTGCTCGAATGCTGGCTTGCTGTCATCTGGAGCTTCAGCAGTAAAGGAAGATGGGGCACTCACGCCTATGTTACCACCCAATTTTGAGAAAGCACCTGATTGAGGAACTCTAACTGATGACTGAATTCCAGAAAATCTAGTTGGCCTCATATTATGCATTTGACTGGTATTCTGTC